AACTTTGTTATTTGAAGTCGGATTTTAAAACTATTTCACAGAAATGATCACCATATTGAGACGACGTGTTGCGCGGAACATTTGGGTCGCTACCTTGAAGGTCAAGGTCACAGCATGACCTTGCAGCAAAATCGTGTCCGGCCCAGTAATGCTAAGGGCCGCAATGGAAATAAGAGCTTGCTTTTTTTGTGTTATCCTTGGTTTTTGGAACATGTCATGGTTTACATAATATAGTATTTATTTATTCATTTATTTATAATTTTATGTGTAATTGTTTTAATCTATATTGTGTTTGTTTACCATGTAACATGTTTACCTTTTGCCGAAATAAATCTATAACGTTTTAACTTAAACAAAAACAGAAAATATCTTAATGGCAATAACAAACTATTCACGAAAAAATAAACAAGCGTGGTTTTATGCGTGAAATTGCTTGCTGCGAAGTAAATGCGTAATACCTCAGCTGTACACTGCATATCTTGAGTAGGGCTAAATAAAATGCTACTTTGACGTATATCTATTTAGATTTCCAAATATTAGGCAAATTGCAGTTAAAAGGGAAACGTTACGAAACGGAAATTCCATAACGTCAGCACTAGTAGTCGTTTTATACTTTGACATGACGTGTACGCTTAAGTCAATGTCGTACGGAGAGCAATCAAGGTACGAGTAAGTCAATGCCGTAAGGAACGCAAACCAATAATTTAGTCAGGAAACCACTGTTCGTATTATATAGAGACAATACTGACACGCTCGTATTGGATTATCATAATGCCTTGGACAATAATTAAGTATATACCGACTAAACGATATAAACATTTGTTTTAGCAATGAATCACGAATAAAGCCTTTAATTTTAGCATTAGCATAAATCTTCAAGTTTCAGACATTTACTTATTCAGACCGGCTGCAATTTTAATAAAATGGTTAACAACGTCGTCACGAGATTGACATAAAGTTCGTGTTAAATGGTTGTTAATGGCTGAAAATTAATTCATGTGATTTTTACGCATTATTTAAAGATGAATGATTTCTTTATAGTATGTTTCAATAATTTGTTTATTACAAGAACACCATTAAAGAACCCAAAAGTTTACATTTCGATTTTTCAAGGGGTTCACGAGATATCGCAATGTTTCTAAGAATTATTGCGGACAAAAGTCATTGTTTTGCGAAGAATATAAAGTTAGACAAAATTGTTTAATATAATATTATTTTAAAATTTCAATGTAACAATATCACGAGTTATTTATTGGTGAAATAAAGCGAGGACAAACGATGTTATTGGTTAGATTTGGTCACTGGTCTGATGCTTTTAATTCCTTATCAATTAAACACAAAAACGGCAATAACGAAGCCAGAATGCGGCCACACAGCACCATCCCAATCCTCATAAAAAGATGAATTTTGAACTTACAATTTTTTTAATTCTTTTATACGAATTTGTTTTTGTTTCTTAAGTTAAACAGATGGATAGAAAAAAATGATGTTGCATGACAATGCAATGCAACAGCTCTGACACTGATAAATTTAGTCCCATGCAAATCAGTACCTTTTGTGATGGAGACAAAGTGTTAAAGCAGGGTTCATCGATATAAAGCCCTCGGTAAACTTGTGAGATGAAATCAGACAGTTGAACAATCCATTATTTGTATACGAAGATAAGAACACATATTTTTTTTAAAAAAATGTAAGTAAAATGTTTTTCCACAAAGTAAGACATTTAAAATGGGTCCTGAAGAGTTAAACTGACGTATGCAAATATTTTTTATGTACTTGTACTTCTTTGAAGACTCGCAATAAATCGTGTCATTCCGCAGTAAATAATCATGCGTCTTATTAAAATTCATTTAAGACTCTCTACAGATTTGCAGCCGAACAACTCTGGTGTTATTTTTGTTGGTTTTAATCTTGATCACGAAATAAGATATTGTATCGCTTCATGCTATCTGAAAGTAAGTAGTAACAAAACACAAGTGTTTGCCAAAATGACTGTTCTGTGATAGCAGACAATGAAAGTGTTCTTGCAACAACATGGTATGCAAATAGAAGTTGCCAACAACTGTGAATTTGATTTTTATACTCTTGCAAAAAGTATTTCTCAGATACTTGGCATTTGTCACAATAGGTGAAGAGGGACTGTAAATAATAAATAAGCATGTAAAGCTTGTAATACGTATGTAAAACTTCCTCTTAATGCAATAAATATCATGTTAATCTAATTATTAAGAAAAGCTTTACACATGTTATTCTCATTTATGAAACATATTTTAAAGTAAGTTTGCTTTTATTTATTCTTCTAACAAACGCTGGATTTACTGACATTTTCAATTTAAAATAGTTATATGTTTTCATAAAGTGTGAACTGTACGTCACAAAAGGTATTCTAATCAATGCTCAATCACAATACTATGCGCTTTGGGTAAAATACTTTTATTGCAGAAATTTTAAATTAGTAAATTCGTCCAGAATATGTCTGTTTTTAATAAGTGACCGTAAAAAAATACCTTCGGGAATCTTCATTCCCTATTACTTGTAAAATTATTCTGGTCTTTATTAATAAAGACTGCCAGTTTTTTCATGACACTAGGTAATTTATTATACTGTGAGAAGTAATATAACGTTATGCTAAAGTACATATTTTTTTCTATGTGTGTTCAATTATTTTTATTTTACGTTTCCGAAGGACTGTGTAGTAATCATCAGTTTTTGTTGTTGTTGTTTTTTTTTCCAAATATTTGAGTATTAAATTCATTTTGTTATATTTGATTTCACTTTCATAATACAATGTCACCTTGATAAGCAATATCCCACATAAATTTAATTCAATATCCTTCGAAAAATGATAGGTAAAAAGAGTAGAGCTTCAATGTTTTATATTTTATCCTTAAAGTTTACATTAATTTTTGTCATTATCATTTTTGTTTATTCGCCATTTTGGTAATCTATCTTTTCAAAGATACAACATCTTCACTTGACAGAGAAAAAAAACTGTGCATAATGCCACTCACATTCAGTCATTAGCAAATATATGTCACAACCTTAAAGGTACAGATTAAATGCCAATGTAGCTTTTAGAAGAACTTTTGTATCTCCCTTATTCCTCTCAGTTATTAGAGAAACAACCTTTAGGTATGAAATAAGTAAATATTGACTTTACATTAACATAGTTTTAAAAAAGCTAGTTAATTTATTAAAAGCTATATCCTATTCTTGTGTCTCGTATCTTATCAATAATGCTGTTTTTTCCCCTAAAGAACAAAGCTCTGCCATTATTAAGGCAGACATATTGGTGTATTATCCTTGTTATTATGTCGGTTTATTGTAAAGGGCTTAAGATTTTACATTCCATTATAATGAGATTTTTCTCAAATTGTTGACCAGTATTATCCTTTTCCTATAAGAAAATCAGTCTTATGATTCCAGTGTTATGAAATCATTTTTATGCTCTTTAATTAAACAACTTGAAGGAAAAAACAACAAAAAATAACTAGTATGTTTTACAAGGTTATGCTGATTGTGAGGTATAATTGTTTCGATACGTTTATGATTGAACAAAATAATCTTTAATCACTGTAAAGAACCTTGAATTTTAAATATTATAAATGTATCTGCATATATGCACAATTGCTGATACGTCTTTATTGACTTCAAGATACGCCCAGACAAAATTATGTTTAAGAAAGTAATTGTTCTAGGGCAATGTACTTTTCTTTAATGAGATAAATCAAGCTAAGTAGTTTCAAATTGATATCTCTAATACTTCTTCAGTTATGCTCTGGATCAAACTGAATGAGAAAAATAAATGAAAATAAAAATATTTCTGCAAAATAATGTATTATCAAACGCGTTATGGTGCACTTCTCCTTAATGAGAAAAAACCAGATGTGAAATTTTAACTTTTGCCCTGTCCTGCTTTAATTTGGTATCCTACTGGGCCCGTTGCCTGTGGCCCTGTGTTGCTGGGTTACGTTTATTGAACGCAAACCTTGCTTGATGATCATGTTTTTCATAATTATACTTAGTTATGTCCTGTATAATATCAAATACGAACAATGAAAAAGGATTATGTTACACTGAAACAAGCATGTCGTTGTGAATTGTATCACCGACAATATTCAAATCTTTACAGTTAAGGAGCTCTTTGTTATCAGTGACGACATAAGCGAGCATCTTTCAGGTGATTGTTCGCGTATATCATCTAAATAGATATAAGATTATAATGAAAACTAAACATTTTTAATGCAAATGAACCTCTTATTCAACCTGTAATTCATTCAAGAAAAATTCTAATGGCCATTTTGCCTCTGAGACTCATCGCTGATACAAAAATCATGTAGGAGTGGTAGTCTGTCACTCGCGGAGATGTTGGTAATTATTGGTTTCTGCTACAACACAGGAATATAACAGCTTTGTACTTAGTAAACATTAAATTAAATTAGCTTAAACAACACACAACAATTGGAATTACATGTCACAAGTATATTGATCCTTTAAAATGTCGCCTTGGTCCAAGGAGATCCAAATTCGGCTAATGCAATGTTATTAAACCATTTCATGGCCTCATTTAAGTGTAGGCCAATAATTATTAAATCCAACCTTGGCATCGACTATTTTAATATTGTTAACAAGGATTTAGTGCACATATATTATTTTATTCTTAACTTAATAAGTAAGTTACATCTATTCAGATAAAATAAACATAAAGAAAGTCCAGAATTTAAAATACATAATTCATAGAGATATACTAATCATTCTAGCCAACATAACTTTCTCATGAAAGATATATTTATGTGTATTACTTTTCACTTATTTTGACTGCATATTTAACACCATAAGATTTTATATCAACAATGCGTAGCCTTGATGTCTATGTCAAAGTAAATGTTTACAAAAATATTCAAGTATACCTTTATAAATGTGTTATTAATACGTCTTAGATTTTCATAGTAAGAGTGTTACGACGACTTGTGTGTCAAGGGATTTCAAAGAACACTGGATACATTTCAAATTCAATTTATTATGTATTTACATATGTCAATAATTTCAAACAAATTCCACAAACAAATTTGAACATAATATATATTTAAAGACGATAACTATCTTACAATAAACGGGAAAATCATTCTAAAATTAACAATTTCAAAACCTACACGTAAAATTATGAGACACCAAAACAAGCGGAAACAAAAAGTACCTGGCACAATAAGTATCAATTTGTAAACATTTTGTTTCATCTTTACTCACATTCTATATCATAAATTTACTTTAAAATATTTGCAATATAGCGCTTATCATTAAGACATTGAAGCATAGCATTGATGCCATGGGAATGACAAAGACACAACTCGTATACCAATATTGGGTGAACATACAAGAGACTCGGTATTGCTCGGTTAGTTGCATGGAATACAAAGTAATCTGGTAGCATTCTTAACATTAGTACAGATAAAATAATGTTATAAATTATTAAATAAAGTACTTTTTTATAAATGGAGTTATAATATAACATTTTTTCTCTCTTCTTTCTCTTCAAATTGAAACTAAGTATAAGGTCTTCGAGTCATAAAAATAGTTAAAATGGGAAAAAACTAACATGACGATAAGATAATACTTGATAGTAAATTTTATAGTGAAAATAAACATTGTATTTGTAGTTACAACTATTTAATCCATTCTCGAAAAAAGTATTTCAACCTTGAATAAACTAAATACAATTAACACATGTGTCACATCGAACCATGCAGTTAAATATTATCCTGACCTTTAATATACTACATTATGTTTGAAAATTATGTTAACAATTCATAATTATGTTAAAACATTATTCTTATGCAATTTTTGTATAAGAGAGTATGAGACAGAAAGAGTTGAATCTCAAGTTTATATACAGAGTCTAAGAAGCAAAGAAAAATAAAATATTTTACAACACATCTGATTCAACACTTTCTAAGAAAATTAATCCATTTCTAAAACTGAACATATATTTTCCTTCCACTACTAACAATGTACATACATCTAACTAGCAATGATGGCCCATGTGAAGTGGAAAATATCTACAACAGCAGTATTTATGAAGGTAAGTACATATGACCATTTTAATAAGAAAACTAAGCGAGTTTGATAAATATACAGTTTTTATCAATATGTTGTGACAGTGGTCTGTCGCTAATTAGTGATGTTTGATATTACTTTGAATTTTCTTAAGTAATCATGTCGAAATGTTGGGATTGTTTCAAAATGAATTTTGATGAATACTAAAGGAATGTAGAAATGAGTTACATATGTTAAATCAAGTTCATTTAATCAACGTACAAATTCTCAGTTTTCTTGTCTTTACCACTATGTCCGAGGAAAACTTTCTCAAGAAATCGTTTCGTCCTCTTGAAGGAGCTTTTCCTCTCTTTTCCTTTTGGAATTTTACACTCGAGCTCTTCATTTTCAGCATCTGATTTAAGTTTGATCTGTTTGTGTATTCCGACAAGAAGTTCATCAACACGATGATTTAGGGCCGCGGAAAGTTCAATGTATTTACAACCATACGCATCTGCGGCAGATCGTCCTTCTAAAAAATAATAATAAACTCGGTGCATGGTTCAAAATGTTTGCAAGCCATTTTAATATGATTATGTTAAATAAAACTAGAAAATGACATTCAAAACAATACATATTTTTAAGCAACGGGGCACAATGTGGTTAAATCGTTCAAAAGGGAAGAAATATTCGGTCAAATGATACTTCTAACGATATCGTACATAATATAAAAGAAATAAAACCAATAGATGCAGATTTAAGGACGGTAAGTGTGAGCAAATTAAACTAGGCCGCGAGAAATTATTTTAATTTTAGCACTTAATAATATGTTTGGAATCGGTCATCATTAAAAAAAAACAAGACATAAGATCGTAAAATAATGCTTTAAAATGACTGCATCCTAAATTAAAAGGTAAATGAATTTGAAATCTTTTAGAGGACAGTATTTCTTAACACGATACACAATTTCTGGTTTACTATGATAAGAATAATACTTAAACTACACTAGACTAAGTGTGTATAAATAACAAAATTAAAGTTAAAAGTGTTTTATTTAGAATTCAAATAAACTTAAGAGTGACCAACCTTCCTGACTGATCGTCCTCTTTCGCACAAGGTCCGATTTGTTTCCAACTAATATTATAGCCTTATTTGAGCCGACTTCGTCACGTATTTGTTTCAGCAGATCTATTGCGATATCAAATGTCGCTCTCTCTGTTATACAGTACACCACTACAAAGCCGTCTATTTGAAAACTCTCGTCTTGGTCCTGCAAATAATAAGAAGTGTTTGATCATTTAGAACAATGATAGATAAGTAAATTATAATGTTTAGATATTTGAAACATGAATTGCCGTTTTATTTTAAAGGTATTATGCAATATCGTCGAGGAAACATTTGTTGGATTACATAATCATTTTGGTAAACATCAGCCCAACAAAACATAATGCACAGTGGTAAAATAATTTCTTAGGGAATTGTTTATGTTACATAAATACATACACAGGCTAGTTTATTATTGTTAGAAGCCGCAATGTAAGCAAAATGAAAATAAAGATAAACAGAGATACATATAGAGATATGATGTTTTACGTGGAGGTAGTATTTGTTAACATGCGTAATACTATGAATGATGATCCTAACAACGGAAACAAGTTAGATATATTAAATACACTGGTTAATATTTCACTATGTTCATTGCAAAAAAATAAATGAAATTGAATTACTATCTTCATGTACTAGGTTGAGACAACCTTGTAGTTCTTACTGGGTAAATGGTATTCGGAATATTTCTCTTAAAGAAGAAATATTAGCTCTATTGTTCAAGAAGGATTCTTTATTACGACAATAAATGTATTTTTTGAATTCCCGGAAAAAGCGAGTCTTAGCATTTTTGGAAATTCTTATATATTTCAAATTGTTCAAGAAAAAGCAAAACCATTGAAACAAGTTTCACCTACCAAACTATTGAATGTTCTAAATTATATATGTATAAGAAAGAAAATGAATCTACTGCAGCTTCTAAATGCAAAAAAAAGGTCCACACAAATGTGCAATGCCAAACAAAATAGCTCATATAGTAATTAATAATCATAACATTGAATCCAATAAATCTAGAAACAAATTAATTTTAAAAAATGAACTCAGATACATTTTTGTATATGGAAATGCGGGAGGTATTTACAAGTATATAAAAAAATAGTTAAAGATCTTGAATCAATTAAGCAATATATCGAAATCTGAAACAATAGAGTTCCATATTACACATTCATTTTGACAGAAATCTTTCAAGATGATAGTGTACTTTATACAAATGATCAAATGATCTCATATTTTTACACTAACAAAACAGTATGGTATTTGAATCTGAATAGATTTTTTTTCATTGAAAAAGCTATGCAATATATTAACTAAAGGATCATACCTCAAAAGCACACAAATGGACCTTCCTTTGAATAATTTCATGTTTATTTTTTCCATAATCAAATACACGGACACATTTTTGTTATCAAAATTTAGCTGTTTTCGATTACAATGACTTTTAAGAAGTAACAATGTACAATAACTCAATAATACACATACTTTGATGGTATTTAGGAGCATTTTTTTCTTACTTTTATATAAAATCAAGGTATGCTTTATTACTTCCGACGAATTGTTAAATATGGTATCGGAAATGTCCGAAAAATGTATTTTTGATAACAAAGGGCATAGATCATTTACACACACTTTAATTGTGATCGCATTTGGTGAGCCATATTTCCCTCTTCATATTTATTTCAACCGGATGCCAACGTTCACCTTATTCCTGGTGACCTTCGGTTTTGATCACCGGTACTTGAAAAAAAACGAAGTTCGCTTTAATTTGGAAAGACATTCGAAATGGTTGATGGTCCCTAGCATTTAAAACTAAATCTTAAGCATTATCAAAATGAAATGGTAATAGTTGCTTTACTTTCCTCGCAAAAATGTTACATCTCGCTATATTATCTATCAAAATAAAAACCACGGCACAGAAATTAATCAGATTCTTGCTTGTCAACAGGCGATGTTTTAGCTGGCACAAACAGAGACCTTATCATTTCATTAACATAGAACACAGACAGTATTGTATTTGTAAATGTTTTATTTACATGGTGAAATAAAAAATAATAATAAACTGAATATTTTGAGGAGAGAAAAACCCTTCGTAAAAGCATACATCATGTATATGTAATGAAAATTTAAACTATATGAATATTTAAACATATCTGATTACAGTATACTTCATTAAAATGATTTATTGAAAAATGAATTATATATTCGACATCAGATTATTGTGAGTAGTAATAATTTATATAAATGATTAAAGCTTGAAAATCGATATCAATATCAAGGATTGACTGCCGTGAAAAACAACGAACAATACTTTTCAAAACAACAGGCTATACAAATAAATGAATGTGTATTTCTAAACGGCTTTCTATTTGTATCTCTGTTTACTTATCATGCACCGTCATTTTATTAGAAATACGACCATTCTAAACTTCTTATTCAATATGTCAAATTTAGCAAGCACAAAAATAAACTATTGGTATTCATATGTTAAATTAGTATCAGTTTCAAAATGATACAAAATCATGCAAAAAGAAATGCTGCTCTGATATTTATGTAATAATTTTACGTTCCTGTTCCTGTTCCTGTTCAGTTTTATCAAAGTATAAATAGATGCATGGAACATATTTAATTTTGTTTTTGGACGTTCTTTGTCGCATCAGTGTTATTTATTGTCGTGTGAAGGCCGTAAAAGATCACCCTGTACAATAAATCAGCGATGCTTTATTTTAGATGTTTGAAGATCGATCCCCACGATATCATTACTGTGTGCGCATGTGTGTGGTCTTTTTAGTTCCTTCTATTTGATCCTTTCTCTGTATGGGAGGTTCCCTTAAGTTGTCTGCTTTTCATACGCCCGTAAAAAGTTCGGCATTTACTGTTATGCACCTGTTCATCCGTCCGGTCGTCTGTTAGCAGGGTGGTGTACGGTCTTTATATTTTGAATCGGTGGACGGAAATTGTAACCCCTGGCAGGAATGTTAATACTAAAGAGTAGAGACGATATGCAGAACGCAAGGGTGACTTCAAGTCAAAGTCGCACTCAGACATTTTGTATAAATTTCAAAATTTCGTGTTAGAGCCGAAAGAATGGAATTACGGCTGACATGTTACTTGTACGATGGAACGATGCGCAGAACACGGTTAAGATTTACTTAGATCAAAATTGGCCTTGCCTCAGTGTTTATTTGATTTCTATAGACTTATACAGCAAAATTCATTAATAAGTTTCATATTGTGAAGCAGTAATATCTACAGCTAAGATATTATGCAAGAAGCATAACCTTATTGACCTTTACACAAATGATATAAATCATGCTTCTTTGTTCAATACTGTCCCCGTCCCATTGTTCTCTCGCTTAGGGCACATACAATTTTTTACTTTGGGACAATACGTCGCTATTCACGGGTGTGCGCGAAAGTGCGCTTTGCAAGTGCCCTTGTTATATTGATTGTTGTTCTTATTTTTTTAAGTATCTTGTTACTTAGAAACATTCGTGTCGTTTTGTTTCGAAGTTATCCCAGTTTTTCTCGGCTTCGCCGCTGTTTCAGATATCAAAAATCTAATGTATAGAAATCGGCAGCTATTTGAGAAAAACTGTTCTTTTAAATGATTTAACACTTGAGCACTAATGAGTTATTTGTACAATGACTGGCATACTGCATTGAAACTGACGCTGAATATAGCATATGGAACAGGCGACTAATAAATCATTCAGTAAGTGTTTCCGTCAATCATATTGAGTGAAGAAAGATCCCAATTAGCCAAACTGTGTTACGTTCAAGACTTCACCCACGCACATAGATTTAATGAATGGTCTGGATAACCTCATCCTTGCAAAGCAAGCATTTAATTCCTCTCGGTATAAATCAAACATTCATTTATAAAATGACTTAAATGAAGTATATAGGGAGTTGACAAAACAATTGTTTTGAAAAAGTAACAACCCAGCAGAAGCAAAATGAAATGAGGTAAGTGGCGCTCTTTATTTGTTACACATTGATGTAGACAAAGTATGGAGTTGACTGAGAAACCTCAATCTGTCAAGAAAATAAAAGGTTTATGACCTTTGCTGCTTATTGGTCGCTCCATGTTTTCAATATATTGGATCGAATTTATGTTCTGAGCAAATTTATATCTGTAGAGACAAACGAAAGTTCTAGATGATACAAGAGAATCGTACACCTGTTGTTCTTGATCAATATTGCAATGTTTAAGGACAGTCATAAAAAGGGCGAAAGCGTTATAAAATTTGTGAAATACAGCATCTGGAGTTCTTAAGCTCATTTAAAGAAAGCTAACGCCCGATTTATATTCACTTGACCTTTTTCCCGTTATTGTTTTACATAATACACCGTATAACCTTATCTTAAACCTGATGGCTTGTACAACAGATGTTAACTTAAAAAAAACATTTTGACAATAAAACTTGACAAAGACGGTTTTACAGTACAACATGTAGCAACTTATGAAGGCTCGCAAATCAAAATATTAACAATTCCAATTATCGAAAATGGCATTGAACGCAATGCAAAGTTCAAAAGTTGTGAATATATAGTTATTCAACCTAACGCCCTTCCGTTACTTAAATGTATTTATCTCTTGATTAATAGCACAAATAATGAGCTACATCAATAATTAAAAGTGTGCAAATAAGCAATAATTAAACAAAAGATGTGCATATTTTTTTTGTACTTTTGAAGATACTTGTAAGTCGAGGATAAATTACCTGAGAAGATTTTATATTAATTTGACGAACTAGCATATAATTATTATGTCATTCCGTAAATTGAATATCGTTGTTCGGGAAGTTCTGAGAATTGTTTTATAGCACACGTTGTAGTCGGGTTAGCGTAAATATAAATATATAGTTACGCATTTATTTCAATATATACTGTACAGTATCTGAAAATATCATCATCATACACACAGAAACTAAAACATAATAAAAATAGTAAATAATCATATAACAAACACCCGGAGCACGCCGACGTCATTTGCAACGTTATGCGACGTTAAAGTCCATCGATCGTCGCACCTTTTCAACGTAGTCACCAGCAATTTCGATGCATTTCCTGTGTCGGCTGATCCACTTATTGTATGTTTCCACGTACCAGCTATCGGTAAAGGACGAGACTATAGCTTGCGAATGCTTAACAAGATCGTTAGCTGAGTCAAAGCGTTTTCCACGCAGCTGTGATTTGAGCTCCGGGAACACACGGAAGTCCATCGGAGCGAGGTCCGGGCTGTTTGGAGGGTTTCTTCCTTCGTTAAAACGAGCATGCCATATTTACACTGTAGCCGAACTGCATTTCTTGTATTTTCCTGTAGAATTTAATCATTTTCATTGTTTCTGTGGAAGACTTTTCCAGCGCAACACAAAATTTCACGATGCTTCGCAATTCAACGTCACCTATCGACGTCATGTTGTTTACTCAGTGTTTCTGGGCAATAACTTTAAAACAATGTTGATCCGTTGAGAATTTAAATAACGTTATGATATTTTCAGGAAATGACGTCATGACGTTCCGCTGCTGACCAGCGTTTTTGCGCATTTTTACGTTATCAAAATTACGAAATATTATTAGTGTAGCGCGTTATACCTTTCTTTAGAGTCGGACTGCTCCGGTGCGGCGTTATAGTGTTGCTATGGTTACTGCTATTTCCGGCTATTGTTGTCTGATTCTATTCAATTTTTAGGAATAGTTCTGTGATATGCTAATCTTGGTATGTGCAAAATATTACGTCTTAGAAACAAAAAATATAGGAGATATGACAAAATTCCCAGAACTTCCCGAACAACCCTTGTATGTTTAAATGCTTCTAAGAGTTCTTGAACAATTTCTGATACTATAAAATCAAAACAAATCGAAGCAAATGCATATTATTCATGACAGATCTGAAGATGTCATTAAATTGAAAGCATGCACTAAAGATACTGTAGCAACTTTTTATCAACAAGTAATAGAAAGAGCACCGAAACACGAGGCTATCTGATTTGTACGAGGGGGCGTAGCCGAGTATTTTGGTGTTCTTTCTATTTTGTATCATAGTCAAACATGACAGCACGTTCCCTGTTGTCATAATACAAAACCCCAGAAAAAATGAACCAATGAACGAGCATTTGAATATGAAATTTCTGCCCCTTTCCCTTTCTCTGCCATCACAATAAGTAAACCTCAGCAAAAATGAACCAATCAACGGGCATTATCTGGAGTGCGGGTAACTGATACCTGCACTCCAGTTACCGCACTGTGCATGTATATGTATACGATTTAACTCTGACACTTTTTCAACAGAAAGGTCCCCAAACTATGATACAAGTACTATAAAATGCATGTATTATCTCCAAATATCTCATTAGTGACTCTCACCTGGAAATCTTCAGATTGTACAAATTCTAATGTGGACTCTTCACCATCAACTTGCAATGTAACTGTTCGCTCACCCTCTGATTGAGCTGAAAATAGAAACAATTCTTATATCATCTATAAATATAGAGGCAATCCTTTTGCGCTATGCAAATTTGTTAGGTTTTCCCCAATCAGCTGAAGTGTTATATCGATAGGTTTACACTCTTTCAAAACAACACGTTATCGTCGCTTTCTTTAACAATCATGTTTCCATAAGATAACATTTTATTGTGAAATAGTATGTATTCTTTATCTCAGGATATGAAGTACCAGTATTGAAATGAATTTGCGTCTACGAATTTCCCGGTACAAATCTATTTTAAGTTTTGAACCTTAATTGTTGAGCAGTTCAAACTGAAAGAGATAACATCGCCTTATAAACAAGTTTTACGTCTTCAATTACCTCGCATTTTAAAACGAGCTAGAAATATTTTTACGAGAAAAAAAATACATTTTCAGCCAATCTAGACCAAAACCTATTGTACAAAAGAACATTTGCTCACTCCCTTTTCCCAGAAAAATAATTCTTATTTTCAAATAATGACCCAGAATTAAAAAAGCGTTCACTCAAATCAGGCTTAGAATTATAAAACAATACGACATTTACGGGTACATTTCTGAATAGTCTAATATACATACATATCTTTCTGTTTTATGTATCCAGCTTATCTATGTATGAAATTCAAAATTTATGTTTTTTAGGCTTTTGAATCTCAATGGATTTCTTTAACGATTACTGTATAACTGATCGTCCGCTAGAGAAACTCTAGTTTGTTCTTGTTATGCTCTGCTCATTGTCATGTGTTTCTTTCCATATTTATGGGGAACAAATGTTATTAGATTCCCAGTGTTTATTGGATTCTATCTAGTGAATTTCTTGTTATTTTGTTAGACAAATCAGGCTATACAAACAGCTTTATTATCCTTGCTTGAATGCTTAAGAAATAGGGATAGAAAAAGGACAAAAAGAGCACAAGCAATATATTTTTGTTTGTTTTGTGAAAAGACATTACCTACTGGCATCAATATTTGATGAAAGTAATGTTTTCTTTAAGCAGGTTATCTGAAAATGATGAGTTTGTTTAAAACTGGTAATAGGAGGCCTATAACAGGGGGATAGAAGAAAGCTTGTAGATACCACTATCTATAAAAAGGCTAAAACAAAACAAAGCTTGATATATTTTTTCTCTTTGTTTTGCTGTGTTTGGCGACATTTAAGGGGTTTCCAATTTGATTGATTGTACCCTGGCTATTTAACACATATCATAGTCATGTTATTACTCATCCACCGGCCGGGTGTTTATAAAAAAACATGTTATTATATTCTATAAAACTCCGTTGTTAGGTGCAGCTATAATTAATTAATAATATGTATAGTATAAATTGTGATAATTTATTTCTTTATTTAATTGCTTTACAACTAGTTAAAAATGCATCCAAATGGGGTCCGTCTGCAGTTCAACACGGGCATCAGTATAATAACGGGTCCAAGATTCATTGTGCTTCATGAACGGTATCGGAGTGTTATTTATGATAAAGAGTTATTGATGCAGACACATTGTATGATACACTAAACAAAGGCATATAGCTATGTTTACATGGTATCAATGTTAAGGTAAACATTTATGTTTACATTACCTGCCTGATATATAAACTCACAGTTTTGATACTTTAAATGTTAATAATTTCTAATGTTATATCATATGCCTTTATCAGTTTTATTTAACAAATATTATCGAATTTTCACATTCATTAAAATATTAGCCATTTCGGAAAATCTATAACTGTATATTTGCAAACGATAATCCTTTTTTTGTAATTTCTCTATTTCGAGTGTGTATAGATATATTTCTTTTTAAAAAAAAACCCTTTAATTTAAGATATGTCATTTATCTACGAAATAGCTATTCATGATACACGTTTATAATTGAAATAGTTTGTAATACAAATATCAGTTTTCTTTCAAACAAATCCTGCAAATACCAATCAGTTAGTCTATATAAAACATAATTGTCAATCATGATGATCTTAAACGTGGGCAGACTGAAGTTTTACGATACATGATTTTTATGCATTCCTGAAACGTGTAAATCAATTATTTTATAATTAATTTACGATAATAAAATATTAAACACTAGAAAGATTAAACACTCAGTAGATGTACCAAGAAGGCAATAAAAAGATACATATATGTACCACGAAAAAGTAATAATTTCATAAAGACAGCATTTAATACATAACGATTAATGTGAAAACGAAATACAAAAAATGATAGACAGGCGATAGCTGTTGGTTGACAAACGATATCTTAATTTGCTACAATTTGTTATCTTGCTTTTATAAACAAGATAAAGACAATATTTTTATATGCAAGGTAAAGACAATATTATTCATACAGAAATAAGAAAAACATATAAAATAAACAAAAAAGAACAACACTATTTCAATAAAAATAAAATAATCTGGTTCTAAGAAATGATTAATTTGTAAGTAGTTATGTTGATAAATATCCTTAAATTATACCAAAGTGCTATCAATTCGAAGTTTTTGTATTCTGTATAGAATTACATGAACATCAGTATATAAAAGATTTACGCGGAATTGTTTATAAAATGTTATTGCTTTCAACCTGATAATATCGTCTTCTTCAATATAATTACTACTTACATACATTTATATTTCCACTACCTAGATATTCTGACGTCATAAACTGTTGTATGAGTGACGTCTTTCCAACACCTCCGGCTCCAGTCAGTAAAACTCTAAAATTTCTTTGATCTTCACTGCATTTGCTAGTTATCAGTTGCGGGATCAAATATTTACGTTTTGGTGATTTAGAATTTTTTTCCGAAGACTTTGCTCTGTTATAGTCCGAATCATTTCTTACATTCACGGTGTCACCACGATTTACTAAACCTTTGGACGTTGTTTTGAAGGACCTTACTCTTCTAAGATTCTCTCCTCCTGTCTCATGGCGCTCTTTGAAGGAAGTAGCTCTCCTATTCCTATTATTATCTCTACCTTCATTTATTTTTAGACCTTTAAGGTGTTCAATAACTTGACCTTTTGGCACATTTGGATGATCTCTTGAAAGCCTTGCTTCGTTCGGTGGCATACTCATCCTGCGTTGGCGATACCTTTTGGTCCTAAGATTTGTGTCTTTGGAAGGACACCTACTTGTATGCATTGAGTATGATCGTAATCTATGAGCAGTTGCCTGTAAATGTCCCTCAGACAATATGTCATACACAAACGAATTGCTCTCCGGAGAGATATCATTTGAACGATGAAAAGGCTCCATCCTGTGAATGTAATCCTACCTAACAATCCATCATATCTGTGCCCGTGTAAGGAAATCCGCGGAAATAACATCTGATCTCTTCATATCAGCGATAGAGCTTTGATCATCCTTCATTGTCATTTTAACAACTATTGGTTATAACAAACCAATTATCGCACAAGGATTGATATCATATAATGCTTTTTTGTATGTATATATCGTATCAGTTCAATAATCTACTATATCATATGACATTATACTTTTTGATATTTATCACTTTATTTATGTATCCTACTAATTCCCTCAACTTTGCTTGTGTAAATAATTTATCAAAAAAGTGAATTCTACCTAAAATCATTTTTCCATCCTGTTTTCTTTTCTTGTAAACTTCGTGATAATATAATTAGATAAATCCACAGGCACGCGATCGCTTCCTCATACTAATCAAATCTATTGTCGAATTTCGAGGGCAGCGTGTGAAACAAGCTAAGCATGCTGGTATTTGTTTATTTTCTAGAGTAATTTTTGATAACATTTCATTTGCACTGATTATCTTTTTTTCTTATAAATTAATTAATATTAAATAACTATGTCCATCAACCAGTTGTTGTGTCCAGTGAATCATCTATTACATTTTGTGAGAGTTTCAAACTGCGACATACTACTATCATGCGCAACCCAGTTAAAGTAGATTCAATCGATTTTCAATAATAGGTCTCAAGTGCCGTACCAGAGAGTGCTCGAAGATACAACTTTCAATAGTGGAAAATACAGATAATTATATTGCTAGAATCAATTCAATTCTCTATGAAAATCTTTATACTGAAATAATTACTATTCTGTAAGCATGCATTAGTCAAGTTGTTTCAAGTCAATTGGCCTATCATTTTGTTTATGTCATGTTCTTGTATGACAACCAATTTGAAAACATTTAGAACCATGTTTCTGGCAAATACCGACTGCTTAATTAAGTACGTGTAAAATAGTTTACACATAGTTGCATTTTAACAGCAAATTATGCCAATAAATCGTTGTTTTGATAACACTGCTCTGCATTTAGGTGAAAACAAGAGCCGTGTGAACTTAAGATAAGTTTTCCTAGACACGTTGAAAAGTGCTTTGATTATTAATATTTATAAATATGATTGGTGAAAAGCGTCCTAGAGGAGAAAATAGAATATATAGCTCACATATCAAAAATATGTTGTTATAATTACTTATCAATAAACGATGTTAAAAAAATGTTAAACATAACTTATAAAGAAAAAGTGGGAATTCTCATTTGTATATTGTTTATTGTTGTAAAAATATTCACATGTAAAACAATAATGGGCTAAGTAACTCTTACGCTATGAAGATTTCGAAACATAATTATTGCGTTAAGAAAATGATATGATAAATAGTTCTACTAAAATATTTAAGGAATCATTTAAATAGTTTTAAAATATAATTTGATGAGTAAAGAATTTAGTCATGTGTCATGTTTTTAACACAAAACATACATACGTGAGAATATCAATAAAAATTTAACTCGTCGTACATCTGATTTTGAACAGAGTTACTAAAATTTTTCAACAAGAAAAAAATAAAAAAGTATTTTTGCTCATCATGATCATGAGACGTGGGTGAAGTTTAACATGGCGAGTGGCCTAGCATTTGTTTACTTAACGGTAACATTTGAGCACAACTATTGGTAGTTAAATATGTTAAAATAAATCCGAAATTAAATAAAAACAATCTGTACCGTATTTATATTTATTGTTTCGA